AGGTGGATGAGCAACACATGGTATAGAGTGGGGATTACGAATGGATGGCGCGCGTGTGCCGTCGAACGAGTGAGACCAAGCGAGGTAGACAGATATATATATATATATATATAGAAAGTGCGTGAGTAAGAGAGAGAGAGAGAGAGAGAGAGAGAGAGAGAGAGTAAGCGAGTAAGCGAAAGAGAAGGTGTGTGTTTGCGTGCCCGTATGTGCGCGTAGGTGCGTAAGAGCCAGTGAGAGCGAGAGAGAGAGGGAGACTGTAGTAGAGTCGAGTCGAGTCGTTTGTTAAGGCGGCGGGTAGGTAAGTAAGGAAAGAAACGGTCGGCAGCGTGCCCCCTCTGACCTTCTGTGCTCCTGATGAAAGGAGGGGCTGAACGAGGCAACCCGCGCGAATTTTGCTCTTGGCTGCATAAGAGAGGAGAAGGATAACCACTCGTGTTTTCCTGATACAACGACGTACGCATGCGGGATGTGAGAACAATTTTCGCGTCATTCCCAAGCTATATGAGAAAAGAAGTCCGCGTCTCAAGTTTGTCACAATGCGCGTGCCACGATCACACACGCATCATCCCGTGCTCTCGTCCTATTAATTTATCATTATAAATAATGAATATTTTTTGTGAAACTTGCAAGATTATCAATGGTTGGTGCTGCTGCTCGAAACGTGTCTCGTCGCATCTAAAATTACTTTCTTAAAATCCAAGTTAATAATACGATTGATTATAAACATTAAGTTTCGTTAATAAAATAGGCTACTATTGATTGATGTGAGGATAGGGATAGAATATAACAAATGCGTTTACGAACTATTCAAATTTAATTGTTGTTCTCGCATACACACGCGTATAATATTTACAGAAGATAAGCGGCATTTCTTGAAGAAGTCAAATTCGGACAGATGTGCCTTTGAAAATATTCAGGGGCGTGGCCCGGGGTGGCATCTTTCGAATAAAACGTCTATCAGGGCAGCACACCGTACTGGAGCCACAATCTCTCGCTCTGTCCTCACTCACTCTCTCGCTCACTCTCTCTCTCTCTCTCTCTCTCTCTCTCTCTCTCTCTCTCTGTCACGCACGCGCACGCACACTAACGCACGTACACATGGACACACACACACACACGCACGCACGCACGCACGCATACTCTCTCTCTCTCTCTCTCTTTCTCCTCTTTTCTCTTCGAGCTATTCATTGATGGTCGTTATTATAATTCATCTGTCTTACTTTCGCCTTTGTTCGTGCGTGGCGAGACTCGGACTCACGCGTGCATGCCTTGATGTATGCACAAAAGGGCCTTGTTGAAACCTTGAAAATAGGTAGGTATGGCGAGCCCCTGTAAACAACATTCGCAACAGGATCACATTCATATATAAGAGCTTGGAATATCCGCGGGTAAAGGAACTGCCTTTTCCTTAATTCAATCTACACGGCATTTTTATAAGCACGCCTGCATATTATAAGCCTTAGTACAAAATTCTAAATAAATTCCGTTTGCTTATTTAAAACGATGATCCTAAGCGTTTTATCCATGCCTAGGAGTGCTCATACGCATCGCTTATGTTTTTTGTACTCGTAATATTAATTACTGCTACTCGCTGTATCACTTATTCATTATAATAATAACAATAACAATTATATCGAATTTCAAAGGCAAATGCGGCCTCCTACATCGAACATTTTCATTTGCAATGAAACGAAATAAAGGATCGATGTATTTATTCGTAAAAGTTATAAATAACGTTAATTTGTTAAGCCTTTTATGTTATTATTCAACTCAAAGGGTAATGATATTAATGGACGTAAGAGTAACACTATATTTTGAAGTCACAGAAAGAATCATCATATTGCGGTAATATATATATATATATATATATATATATATATATATATGAGCAGAGCTCCGATTAAATTAAAAAGAAATCGTCAAAAGTCATAAAGAGCGACGACGATTGAACGCTCACCACCCACTCATCCATTCTCATGATTCTGTGGCAGCACCGTATTGTAAGTGAAAAGCGCCCATCTCTACTATTCTCCTCTTGCGGACGATGACGCGAAGCTCAAAAATAAACGGCCTCGTCATTAGCTTTTGATAAATCCGAACGCGTGCGGTGCGGCGCCACGCACTACTCCTTCCCCTACCGCTGCGCTTTATTGCGTGCGCAGGCGGAACGACGACGGCGGAGCGCGAGACTCGCCTGTTAAGCTCCTCGGACTTCATGGCAGCTTGTTAGGTGTGAACCACGGCGCCGCGTACCGACGCAACCCATTGGACCTTCGAAGGCGTCGCTATCAGTGCGCGGGGCTGTGCAATTTCCGCGGGGCCGCGATGCACCGAGCACGACGGGACAACGCCACGAGGGGTTTGCACTTGCCACCGACACTCCGGAGAACGACTTACACCGGCGAGTCGTCGACTATCGCGACGCCTGCGCCGCCATCAGCTTCGCTATATATATATATATATATATGCATACATATCCTTCACGGTGTCTCCCCCTTCCTCCCAGCTACCCGTCCACAAACCGCAAACCCCTTGCTCCACCGAGCACTGCCGACTGCGCAAAAAGGAATGTTGCGGCACTGTCGGATGGAGGATGCTCCTGCTTCGAGCTATTGGTGTCAAAAAAAAAAACTGTTTTGCTCACTTGAGCAAAAGGGTGATGACAGTATTCACACCTGCAGGGAGACGAGAAACTGTATTTTGAAATTATAAAAAAGAAACTGGCAGCGGTGGGATTCGAACCCACGCCTCCGAAGAGACTGGTGCCTTAAACCAGCGCCTTAGACCGCTCGGCCACGCTACCCCTCGAGCTTGTTAGTACTATTGACGCCCCAGAGATGCCATTATGCCCAAGGATAATGTTTTCCTAATTTTCATGCTCTTTTATTTCGATGGGCCATTTAAAGAGCCTTTACAAAACGTATAGTAATTGACATTTGCTAGTGATTACTTTCTATTTATGTACTGTGATAAGAAATTCTTTGCTTTAGCCTTATTCTTAGTTCTTTGTAACGATGTCACAAAGAACGACGAACTTGTCTTTTTTTTCAGGCTTTCAACTTTTCAACTACTACTAATCTACCACTAACACTACTTTTCCATTTTACCTTGATTTCTAATAACTGATAAATTCATTTCTGTTTTATCCGCGTTTATATTCGCTATAAACAACATTTTATATACATTTATTTGTATAGTAAGTATATAAAAGCTTATATTTTCGTTTCAGTTGAATACTCATGTTGCAGAAATATTAATGATGATACTACACGGAATTGTTGATTTTGACTAAATTTTTACGGATTTTAAACGATTATTAAGAATATTGAAACATTCAATTATTTGCTTTTACTAAGCACCATTCATAGTAAAGTAAAGAAATTTATTGAAAACTTTATCTTGGGTCAATTTTTGTAAAATCTGTTATTTCATTCAAATGAAATCCTTAAAATCCTGTACATTTTTCTGCAACAATATCTTATAAATAAGATAGTATTCAAGGTTCAATTGATATTTAACGTTCATTATTAGAATGCATACATTATGTAATGATTTATTAAATGTTTGCGAATAAAATAGGTAGTTGCATAGTTCGTTATAAAAAGCCTTCGACCAAAGACATTCATTATTGATTTTTTATTTTCCTTCGTCGTCTTTGATACAATAAATTTTGTTTCCCAGCCAAAATCTCGCACATAATAATCGAGTATTTTAAGTAATATTTATGTATTTCTAATAATTCCTGTACTGTACAAAATGTATAAATATTATTATGTATTCAAAAATTCTATGAAATATGTTTATTTAAGAAATATTTTCATTGGATATTTTGTGAAAAAATTTTACTTAAAAGTATACGTAGTTAAAGAATTTTTCAATTTTACATACAAATTCCAAAAATCATCATATTATAAATAATACAATTAATAAAATACAGAGACTAGGCTATATTTGATGGCACAGGATAATGAAAATCAATCCTATTGTTTATTATCCACACATACTGATTATTTCAATAATAATATATGCAGCAGAAACGCATAATGTTTCAATATTATAAGCTAAAATATTTTACGAAAATTTTTGTATACTTGAAAGAAAAATGTATTTTATACAATGTCTGATTTTGTGTCATTGGTAATTATTTTATAATTTCTCATTTAGATAAATAGTTATTTCGAAATATATTTTTAATTAAAAATCCTTTTTTAAAAACTAATTTGTAAACTTTGAAATTTAATCAATTTAGATTTTCATTACATTCTTTTAATTTTAATTTTCGTTTTATTCTTTTTAATAGATTTTGTTTGAAATTTTAAGGCTGCTTCAATTACTGTATACAAAAACTTATTTCGAATGGTCAAATTAGTTTATAAATAATACATGTAAGAATGCCAAATAAAATCTCTGATGGATTTGAAATTAATTATTTCGATCGGCTATTCTTAATTTGATAATGATAATCAAAATTACTATACAATTGATTAAAAACTATTTATAGTCGATGTGAGTAAAACTTATTACATTATTTTTAATTTAATATATGATATAAATATATTAGCATTATGACCTTATTAACGTTAAATTCCAAGAATATAAGACGCGTATAGGATTTTTACAAATTATACTTCAACTTTTATATTTTAATTTTTAATTTAAGTAATCAAAATATATTTGTTAATATTTCAGAAATACACGTTTTTTCAAAGTCTGAATGTAAAATATAAAATTTCTATTCTGTTGTTATCTATCAATCATATTTGAGAATAAATTATTTTACAAAAGCTTTTATGCATTTTATTTCATGAGAGTAACGGAGTTGACTGCAAAATACAATAGTGTATTAATCCTGGGGAAAAAAAATAATTTTAAAAGTCAATTGATTCAAGTGCTTAACTAGTTAAGGGTGAACTTTATATAATGTTATATCCACTTTTAAAAATAATTATCAATATATTACATAATTATTCGAATCGCCCGCTAAAATAACAGATAGAAAGCGCGATCGGAAAGCTTACTGTGGTCTCTCTAAAAGCTTCTTCTCATTCTCTCTTTCTATTTTGGTTCGATGCTTCTAAAGCCGCAAGCTAAATTTTAAAATAATCGAAAGCAGACTGAAGGCGCGTTTTTAAAAGCCACAAGCTTTTAGCTCCGCTAGATTACGATTTTTTTGAAATACAAACGCTAACCACCGAAAAATATCTCCAGTTACCCGTCGTGCTTTCGATGTATAGAAAGAGATTTTCATATGTGCATGTGTGCGGGCAACCAAGTGATCCATATATAGAAACGCCCCCACATTCACTAACACTCACGCACAATTGTCATAGATATATACTCAGCCACGAGCCACAGATCGCACACTTTTTCTGTTTGAGCTACAAAGGAAGAGCAAATTTTACCAATTCAAGTAACATCGACTTTTGCTTTTTTTGACCTTTATAAATACTTATTTGTACAAGACCAACGTCATGCCAGGACGTCCGCTATGGCAGGTAAGAGGACTAATAACGGTGCAAATATTTTTAACATATTATATTTTATCCTAAACTGCCAATAATATTACGGTATTTGCTTATTATCCTTGCCTTTCTACTGTCTCCTCTTTCGTACTGTCAGCGTTTTCAACTTGGATTGAAAACGTACAACTGCGAGCTTCCTTTATAATGCTTCGTGAAGACAAACACATAAAAAAAATTTTAATTGCATTTCCAAACTTGTTTTGCGTATTCTCAAAGAAAACAATTTGCAATATTTTGACATTCTTTCGGTTCATTTATGCGTTTGTGCATGAAAATTGCTTTCAAAGGATTTACTGTCGAATCCTGTGAGAAATGCGGTTATCACTATATCCATGTGTGACAGTTAAGCTGCATTTAACAAGATAAATTTTAGAAGTGAATTGTGCCTTAAAATATCTAATTCATAACGGATTTATTAATAAATTAAATTGGACAATAGTAATGCCACTACGCGTCATTTCAATCAAATAACTTGATTGGAAGCAATTTGCATGTTGTCAAAGAACTCTCTAAAACAGTAACTATTGTTTTTGATTAAATAGAATTTCTATAAAATTTTCTGCACTAGCCGACTCATTATTTATTATATTATTTCTTATACTCTTTATATTGACATTAATTTGAGTTCTTCATTTGAATGAATGAATTTGAATTCATAATTTATATTACGATTTTGTAATAAATTTCATTTTATAACATGTTACTTTGTGAAAGATATTTTCAATATTCTCGCCGATAACAATTTCATAAAATTGTTGCTGATTTAAAGTGGTAATATTTGTAATTTTACTTATAAGCAAGTGAATTTCATCGCGTTCTTGTAATGAGATCAAAAATAACCTTGACACCAACTCGTTGTTCATGAATCACTGCTGACTCATCAAATTTCAAGGGAGGATGGGAATCACGAGCGAGCAAGTATAATTTTTAGTTATTTTGGTTTATGTTGTTGTAATGAACAACAATTATATTATTTTTTCCTATAACTTAATATCGTGAGTTCTTTTTTCATTTTGATATGGGTTCGAGTTTCAATTACAAGGATAATTTTGTATTTTAGAGAAGAATGATTATAATTTGTTCTCATATAAAACAAAATAATCTGCAAATGAATATTAATGACGAAAACAAAAAGTAAAATTAAATACTTAAGCGAGGATATCAAAATTATGAGATATAACAATTTTTTTTATATTTATACAATATACAGGACAACTAAGAAATATGCAAGATATAATTGCGTAGCAATTTATTGAACAATGATTTCTGACTTCTAAGTTCGCGTATCTTCAACATAGTTGATCCAGGAATAACTTGGAAAAGTGACCTCGACTAAATCATTAAGAAACAGAACAGTTGAATCAGAAACCTCAACGCGGTAATGTTAGTGTGTTTATAGTGTCAAGAACATGTAAAGTTTCGCATCGGAGACGAGCGTTCTACATAAAATTATGCAGAACCAAGGAAATTTTGAGGACGTGACATTGCCTTTGAGCCGAACGGCTTTTTCTGAACGACCCTGTTCCATATCGTAATATAAACAAACCTTGGAACATGTTGAAAGAGAAACATCGTCAAATGCGAAGTTTTAAGCTATTAGGATTAAAATAGATATCAAGTATTAGAATTAAACTGTAACATATTAAACAGGCATTCACTGAAATGAGAAAATACAAATAAACTTTCTTTTTCGCATATTCATTTTGCACACAATTCATGCATTAAAATATATAGTTACAGCTGTCCACCATAATTAATGAAAATGTTCTAAAATTCAGATATTATTGATAGATTAATCGTAAGATCTTAATTTAAAAGACATTCAGTTATAGACTGATTTACGTACATTTGCTAGAAATTTTTTGTTAAGATAATAAAAAAATGATTAAATCCTTTTTTATTCTATGCATTTTCAAGACAATACAAATATTTCATGATGATTATTAACAGAAATATTTTAAACGGAAAAATATTTAATATTCAATTATAAACGACAGAATAATTGAAATCTATATAAATAGTTCACGCAATTTCTACATATGATGATTAAAAATTTTAAGTTATTACGTTGATTAAAATATCTTTTAAAGTAATATAATTCCATAACAAAACTTATATTTCTAAAATTTATTACAAATATGATTATTAGAATTCAATATTAAATACATATAATGTCGACAATACATCATATAAATATAAAAATGCAAAATCTATTGTCACCTATTAAAAATTTTCAAAAGAAATCATTTTCACAAGATACACATCCTACTCATTTATGTTTACTTTCTTAGTCTAGAAATTTAGTTTATTAACATTAAGTATGAAAATGATATTGGGAAAGGAATTAAACCCACGAAAAAGAATACTGAAAACTATGGGAACTATTGAAAAATATATAGTATATATGCTTAATAATGTCGAATGAACAATATAAATTTGCACTCTGAAGCTTCACAAACATACGAAATCGCATAGTTTATTAGAATTTATAAATTTAATGTACTCTAACATGTATTCACATACTACTATCAAAAGTAAATTTTATATAGTATATTCTAAATTTAGAAATGTGATGTAATCTGATTGATGTATAATATTGATATATAACAGTTCAATAAACAAATAAATAGCCATCTTACCGACTTTGTAATATTAAAGCTCAATATCTACATTAAAAAAAAGATTCGTTTCCTTTGTAAGAGATGGCGTTAATATCACCAAAGCCAATGTTGACGGAATAGATTATATTTAAACCAAAAATATATTACAACTAATTTCATACAGTCGATGAAATTGAGAGTAATTTTTATTATTTAAAATTTCCAATAGAGTGCCATGAAAGTGAATATATAAATGCATGCGATAATTCTCATAACTTATAAATTAATTTACATATGCATCAAACAATATTATTTGCTTTATTTAAACAATAAAAGGTACTTTTAGTTAATGAGAAATATAGAAACAATCGAATCTGAAAGAATTAATTTACGTAAGCAATAACCTTGGTTTCAATTTTAATTTTTCAATTTATTTTCATTTTTTATAAATTAGTGATACGCCTTGGCGAAGATCCAAGGATTTGACAATATCCAAATATAAATGCGTAATTTTGATTTATTTAAATTAAAAATTCAACATTCATAATATAATAAAGATATTGTTATGAATATTGATAATTGAAATGGTAAAAATATGTTTTTAAAGTATTTAGTAATATAATGCTTTATAATCCATTATGTTGCACAAAATTTTCCATAATCAGTCGGAAAATTATTCATAAAATTAATCATATTATCCTTCAGCAAATTTATTTTATAATAGTAATATTTTCAATTAAAAAAAAGTCTTTTTTTCAAGTGTAATGTTAGTGGGATTAGACTGATTGTATTTTGGCTTAAAATAATTATTTTTCAATAAACTATCTATTCATATATTTTGAATTTACGATATAAAAACAAACGTTAGAAAAATTGGTGAACATTAAATTGCATCTAATTTCATGAGATCTATATATTATTTGTTATTTATTCTTGTATATTTAAGAAAAATTATTTTATAGAAATAAATAATAAATTGTTAAAAATGTTTTATTCTTTATATTGTTTACACGCTTTGATTACTATAATTACAGTTTATTATAAATTAATGTTTTTTTTATATTAATTTGAGATTTATAATGTATTTGTTCAATTATTGTTATTTTCATATAAGTGAAAATATTTTAATTATATGAATTAAAATGTTTTCAATAATAGGAAAAGTACCTTTCTTTATTTTAAAGTTTTAAATGAGAATTTCGTCTATTCCGTACTTATAAATTTTTGTTTATTGAGATTTTATGTTCATTTTATATAATGAAGTTTTAAGAATTATTTTGAATTATTATATTAAATTATTTTAGCCGTGTTAATTCGTAATAATAGATAGTTATAATTACTATTTTAATGAACAATAAATATTTATGTGTATAATTAATTTTTATTTTAATAATAAGTTTTAAAAATAAATGTAAGATGAACAAATACTGTTTTATTGAATTAATTTACAAATTATGATTGAATAAATTATGCTTAAAAATTTTAATTAGAAAATTAAGTTAATAATTTGTCAATAATATTTAATAAACTAATAGTTTTTTTATATAGTAATAAAAATAGTCTGTAATGTGTAATAATATTATAGAGTTAATTAAAAATACTTGAAAAGTCGATTTAATTAAATTTTTTATACGATATGAATTGTAACTTAATTTTCTAACGAATGTGTATAATATACAAGTCTTTATTATATGTTGAATAAGCATAAGCATGTTTAATTAGGACTCTATTATGCATACTAAAATTAAAATGAATAAATTAAGGAGTCTTTATTATTGAAAAAATTGTCAATAACGAACGTTCGGTCTTGTAAGTCAACCTACTAGTATCAATATGAATTTGGGGCTAAGATGACGTTATAGACATTGATAAATAATAATATCGATATGAAAATTATTTTTAAAAAATTCATCGCTCTGTACACACTATTTATAATTAGTTTATAATTATATTAGCATTTACTTGGTAAATGGAATTTGTGTATAGTAATTTTTTCATTAAAAATTATTATTTTAATTTACAAATCCAGATAACTTATAATAAAACTGTAATTTAATTAGAAATTATATTATTAATATTATTTCTTAACAGAAGACATATTATTAAATATCAAGACATACTTAATTTAGCTAACATCGATTAAAATAAAAATAAACCTCAGTCATGTTACTAACTACTGTAATAGAAAATATTATATAAAATATAAATTAAATAAATGATACACAAATGCACGAGACGGTCCTAGAGTGTACAATGTTATACATCTTTTGGCGTTAATCCAAAGTATGCTGTACAAACCATGAATATGAGACAGTGGACTTGGTTGATGCATTTTGACATCTAAGTGTCGGACGTAGGACATTGGATTCGGTCATTTCACTCAGCATGTTGCACTGTTTTGATTCCGACTTTCCATAAAATCTTTTTCTCCTAATATGCAGTTAATAATAAAGTAGCTTGTAATGTCATACAATTGACCTTTGAAAAGGAAGGTGAAGATCAAAAGCTACATTTTTAATAATATATTATTTTACTCTCGTAAGGATGTCTCGTTGAAATGAATAAGTTTTGAAATTTAGAAATACTACTGATATATTTATTTTATTTTTTTTTTTACAATCGTGTAAGCATATATGGGCCAATGTGTGTAATATTATAAAATGCCGTCTATATACAATAGATAACATTAAAAATGATATGTCATTATTAATAGTTTCTTCGCGAATTTTTTATTTCTATTATTCATAATTCTAATTATTTGCAAAAGATATGAAATTTTGAAATTATTGGCTTTTTATTATTATTATATATAAGTGTATCTGTGCACACACGCGCGCACGCGTGTAATAAAAAACCTGGTGCTGAATATACAATATATAGATGATGTTTTAGTACAAAATTTACATATGTCTCGTATTTCCAAAACCCCCATGTCCAGATTGACTGGCACCTTTATTGAAGCCCATTTGCAAGTTAAGATGTCCTTCGTTTGCTTTGAGCTGTTCTTCCGTGAATGTTCTTTTATTTTCATCAGCCATTTTGGGGCCTAGTCGTGGTCCCGTGTATTCAGGGTGTTTTTGAGTCTATATAAAACAATAGATTAAACAACGAGTAATAAATGAAATTGTATCTTGAATATATAATAAAATAGTTAAAATTCATACTATTCTGGCCAAAGAATATAGGCAAAGTGACACTTGAGGGATGTTTCTTCTTTCGAACAAATCAGCGGTCTGGAAAATTTCTTCCTCCGGTACGCCAAACTTTTTAATAGCGGCTTGGAATCTATTATACAAATATTAATTATATTTGGCTAAGTATTTTCTGTATGTTATTAATCACTGAATATGTACCTTTGAACATTTTCCATAAGCTGGAAATTAGTTCCTTTGTTTTGAATTTTTTTTACTGAACCTGGAGCAATCTTGTTAATCAGTTGGCAAAGTATAACACCATCCCTAAGAATGTCCTCGTAATTGCCAGGGGGCAATTTTTCTCCCAAAACATTCTGAATCCAATCAAGAATTTCTTGTTCTTGTTCCTTATTACGTGGCTGCGAGGAAAAATTTTATTCGAATAAAAATAATTTTTCGAGAAAGTTCGTGACTCTCGAATAAGTCGCTCAAAAGCAACATCGCATTAAGTTGGGTAGAAAATATGACGGTGTTAAAAATGTTTCTTTATACAAAAATAGAATGCGTTAGAAAGCGCTGAGTTACTGGTATGAATTCTTCGAAAATAAATTATATTTGCTATAGATATTAAAAAGCCTTTTCATGATTTATAAGATATTTTATTTTCTATTTTTTAAAGAAATTTTTAATTTGCTAAAGTATTGTTCACTTATATACTCTTTCGCATTATACTAATATCACAAATTAATACTATTTAAATTTATATTTTATTTAAAAATTAGTTATAGTCATCTAATACTTCACATTCACTGTACTTCAAGAATCCACGGAAAACAATGAATTTATTTTTACACATAATTAATGTCATTACTTACTACGAAACCGATAAGCAATCGATAATCATTCAGCAATCGTATCATACGAATTGATGTAATTACCATTTTGACTTTAGGACGAATGAGATTAACTATGTATTTATAGCGGAGAAAAACTCTTACTGGATATGTGAGATAATGTATGTACACCTATATATGCATCCTGGTCGGCATACATTACCCACATCGCAAATAATCTACGCGCTTTGATAGTCTAGCTTCATTCACTCACGATTATTTTTGGAAATAATGTTTCATTTAGAGCTTACAACATCTTCCGATATTCGACGATTTTCATAATGACAACGATGGCATTCGCTATTTTCACAGTAAACCGTAACTAAATACTACTTTAGCTTGATTATTATATATGGCATTTAAATTCATTGTACTTATATAGTACATTTATTGAATGGTAACACTAATTAAAAATTATAAGTGCAATTCATGAATAGCATACAATTCATTAAAATAATAATAATATTAATATTTTTTAATCAACGGAGCAAGCAATGCAAATTGAATTAGTTGCAATACTTAATACGTATTTTTAACTAAACTAATTAAACTACAGCGATTTAATTACACTGAAATTAGACAAATCGCAGTCTATGTTATGTATCGACTTCCAGTGGTTATTTGGCATAATGTCAAAGTCGGCACCTGTCTAGTTACATCAATTTCAAGGTGGTTGAGTGACTTTCTTAACTTACATCAATATACTTTATCGATTATCGACAGATTATCGAGATTCAATAATTTTATTTATAATTTATATTATGTAAAATTATAGAAAATATGACGATCGGTATTGTTTTACGTGTAATCTTATAAAGTGAAAGCTATATGTTTATTAATAGATAATGTTGTCGCTTAGTCGAATGTTCATATTTTTAAAGCTTTCAAATAAGAAACTAAACTTCTAAAATATAGTTTAACTAATAAAAATACAGAAGAACATAAATTAATTTAAACAATATATTCTCTTGGAAAATTAAAAAGCTTATCGACAGTTACGCATATGTTATACAATTATTTAGTTATTAAAATTGTTGTCAACTATTTGGAATGTCAATTGAAAAATATCCGTTTAGTTTTATTCAATATTGATGATACATTGATGGATAATAATTAATACTTGATAAAGAAATATTGTATAAATGCATACAATTTCATTTAATTTTATTTTAATACATACTTTAAAGTATTTTTTAATCACACATAAAATAATGAAAATAATATCAATGTCGAAATTTATTTTAATTAAAGAAAAAGTTTTTGTTAATTTTGCAGTTACAGAATGAATACGCTTAACCTGGGTTTAATATTTATGAAGTTATAAAAATGATTTTAATTTAAAATAATTAGTTAAAATATGTGGTGGAATAGGTTATTGCTTAATAATACTAACAACAATTTTTCATCAAATAAATAAGAAAAATAAGGATGCCATATAAATAATCATATTTATAAGGAACAAGTACTCAAAATTAAATGTTAATAGAACTTGTAACATAGAATTTATTTCAACAACTATTTTTATGATATTTATTTCCGGAAAACACTTAAAATGTTCTGAAAAAACTTTTATTATCCATAACGAACCGAACGATTAAAATTAAAAAAATTGTTTCTCTATTAATGTGGTTCACTCTCCGATTTTCTAATTCACTTTTGAAGCTAAACACCCCAAATTGAGCAGTTCTTTTTCACACAATGCAATCAATGTGATTAATCGACGAATTTATCATTTGATGTATATAACGTAAATATGAGAAACATACCGGCATTTTATGTAGTTAAGTAGATGTGTAGTTTGGTGTGGATAAAAAATATCTCGATAGTGAGATTAAAAATTTTAATGAAAGAGTAAGATTTTCAATCAGTGCCCCAGTAGAGTACAGACTAAGTAAAATGCCGGCCGTCGCGACGCTATATGGCATTCTCCCCTCCTTAGGTTCATTCTACCGATCTTCTAGAACCAGAACCTTTTTGGCTCCTTGCCCATTAGTTCTCACACCCTCACTTGGTTCCGTACTCTCTCACTCACTTCCTCTCTCTCTCTCTCTCTCTCTCTCTCTCTCTCTCTCTCTCTCTCTCTCTCTCTCTCTCTCTCTCTCTCTCTCCCTCTTTCTCTCCTCCCTATAGATATAAATATATATGTATATATACCACACGTATACAGACACATGTCCATAAAGAAGACGTTCTTATTTTCATAATCGACTTTTTTCAACCTATTCCCCTGTTGATCATAAAAATATAAAACAAGTTTTTTTTCTTTAATCTTTTGATTTAATTTTTAAAAATGTAAAAATTTTAATATTTATAAAGACTATTATAATATTTGTGTTTATTATAGTACAGTACCATTAACTGAATATATAGGTTTGCAATCATAGATCTAGGATGAGTATTTAATGCATATTAAACAAAAATATATTTAATATAAGTCGATAATGTTGAAGTAACAATAAACGTTTATTTTTTTTATTTTTTAAAAAACTTAAAATTTATTGAAAGTTATTAGTATTGTACATTAATTATTAAAATATGATAAATAAGCTATCTTATTGAATTCATTATGAATGTCCACTATGAATATACCAATATTCAATCACAATTTTCAGTGCATAGTTGAGAGATGTTTTTCAGTTGGATTAATATTACCGTATCGTTAATACTATCATAATTGGTATTAATCAGTTAAATAATTAAACTAAATTATTTGCTTTTAATCATTTGTTTAACAATTTATATATATATGAAATTTTTAATTTTACAAATTATAAATTATTGGTTAAAATTTCATATTCTGCATTTTAATTATTTATATAAAACTTATTATTGGTATTAATTAAATAAAACTTAATACCATTTAAATTCATTATGTAAAACTTATTTATTACATAGATATTAAATATAGAACGTACAAAGTGTAATTTGAAATCATTTCAATTATTTTCAATTGTTTATAATTTAAAATAATGCATATAATAATTAATCTCACGTGAAAAAATTAATATGAACCATTCATATCGTTTATCAAAATTTATTTTCGGACTAATTTCATTTTGTACCTGAATATATTGTTTAATGACAATACATAAAAATTAATTTTATGAAAAAATTGTTTTTCTTCATAGTTAAAGAAAATAAAGTAGATGACGAAAATAGTATGAAAATTTTAAAAAATTATAATGGAGCAGATTTGTGTATACAAATATCGGTAAGTACCTAAACATGTAATTGGCCGTTTTTATGAGAAGTCTGCCAGAAGACCAATGTGCAAAAAAGATTTACTGAATGAAAATAGAAGTTAAGCGAAGACATTACATTACTATTGGGAGTATGTCATCTTGCGAGTGGTAAATTTGTACACATTTACAGCTAGGGATTGAATAAATAAGGGAGTATTTGACATTTTTATAAAAACTGATAAATGTGCGTACTATGAGGTGAAGAGAAAATGAAAATTATAATAAATGAAAGAGAGATAGGGAGTGAGTAGAATAGAGGGAATAAAGAGAGGGAGGAGGAAGAAAGAAAATAAAAAATTAATGGATATACGCCAAATAAAAACGCCGATATGCTTTGAAAGTATCGTAATTCTTGGATAGAAGCCATTTTCAAACGTGATGCGACAGATAATTATAGATTTCGTCAATCATCGTGTTTCCAAGTTTATGATCAATTGCGGAAGGACGGTGTAACGTACGTTGCACAAGTATATTAAATTATTTTTTATAATATAATTTACAAAACTATATTATCAATTTTTAATGTCCTTAGAATACTAATTAATCTACATTTAATGTAGTCCACAAAAAACATTTCATGCATTTATGAAATGATACTGTAATAATGATATTTTTAATATGAATAATAATGAACTTTGTACAAATTTATAATTGTAAAAAATTATTTTTTTTTTTATATTTATTATAAAAAAGAAAAAAAAGAAAATAAAATACTTTTGAATAAAGAGATTAGATTTTGAAGTTCGCGGTTTACCGACTGCGTTATCGATAGTTGACTTATGAACCGCTATGTGGATTCCTTATTTTCTCTATTCGAATGAGGAATGGCATTTCATGACTATTAATATGTGTGCTGTGAGTAAATATTTAGCTTTGCGCAGTGGCGATATCGTAACCAATGAGGGAATACCGAGGTGCGATTATTGCTAGTTGAAAACTTTTACCAATACCCCGCCATGACGATGTGAAATATCATCGGCTAAGGCAATTTTTGAAAGTTTCTGCGGAAACTGCAAATCAAGTTAAAATAAATAAATTTTTGTATGAGTCAAAAAAAAGAACAGAAATTTTTACTTGGTTGTTTACAAATTTTTACTAAGTTTGTTGTGTGGTGGCCTTGAGTTAATTTCTAAAATAATGTTTTAATTTTAATTATATTTAAAAATTAAACAATCACGAACCGATTCAAATGAAAATATAAAACTATAAATACATATGTTATTATATATAATATATAAATGGGATCAGGATTATTATAAATATTTTTTTAGTTTTTAACCCTCGTTTTTTGAACGTTAGAGTCAAATTTATTAAGGCATTAAGAAATTAGTAATAATAAAGTTATTGTATAATGAAACTTATAAATAGGTATAAAAAATTATATTATCATTTATAAAAATATTTTTTTATTAATTAGTGGAGTAGGATTCGTATCATAATTCATTTTAATAAATCAATCATTAAAATAAAGAACCGACCGACCAAAAAAAATTATTCCTTGGGTTATATAATATATTGATTATTTTATTTAATTGTATAAAGGGTATCTTTGAATAATTGGTGGTACCTTAGAACTTGTATACGTGATACATATGTATATTTTTTTATGTTTGATTATCAAATTATGTTATCAGCCGACAAGTTGTAATAAGTGTATATAAATTATTTACGTATTAATTTTTTGTATTAAAAGACAATGGATTACAAAGTTTTAAAAATAAAAATGTATCTCTTATTTTACAATTTATTATAAAGTTGTATTAATTAACACGTAGGTTTTAATGCTTGATGATGCCTGTTTTTTTTTTTTTTTTTTTTTTGAAATGTAATTATAAATTTTTATATCCATTATTACAGCTGATTTATGTTTCTATTTTTTGCTCTTTATAAAATACTATATTCACATAAGAGGCATATTATTAATTTAGGATATAAAAGGAAATATTTGCATATAATTTGTATAGATTGAACATTGAATTGACTGAAATTTGGTGGCGATTAATTGTGAAAATAGTGGCACGGCTACTATTGCTTAACCACGGCTCTAGTTGAACTTAATTTCACAAAATATTTTACGAGACCAAATTCTTTTTTTTTTTTTTTTTGCAGGTTGCTGGAAAGCGTGAACCGGAACAAGAAACCGAGGCTCAACAATGGATTGAACACGTGATTGGCTACAAATTCCCGCCGGGTAAGTTAATCGAAAGCAACAGCAATGCTACACTACCCTACCTACCGACTGCTGTATCGATCCTCCACAGCAACCCTCGATAGGTACCCCCCTCGAGGGGGAGAGGTGGTGGTATGCTATCGAACCCCAACATCGAAAGCACGCACTATTCATATGAGACCCTGTTCATCGGAGGCGGCGCAGGGTTGCAAGTCCAGACTTGTCTCCTTCGAGTACACGGAAGCGTGACTCTTTCTCGCGTTTATTGTCACTAAAGAGCCTTTGAATCAAAGCAATACATTGAAATTTGTCATAGCGAGCATGGGTCCCCTTCTCCTCAAGGTGCCCGGCCAAACCATGTTGGAACTTTAAGTTTGAGAGTGGCGTCGCGCTATAGATGCCCATAGATTCCTGATCAACCAAGGTGGCAGAGGTCTGCAAGCATTTTTAAGAGCGCCAAACACCCACGATACTCTATAATCGATGGCGGGGGCGAATGAATAAGGGATGTACGGCCTCCCTATATTACATAGTGTCCGGATACCGGCGTCGGGGCGCGTGACGTCGAAAAGGTTAAATTCCTTGGGTAGGTCAGTAATTAACGTCACGCGCGTCTCATATTATGATAAGAGAGAACGACGCCAGGGGGTAGTCTCAATGTCCTCTTATGACTCCTGTTCCCCTGGCAAAAGGCGCGCTTCGTTACGTCACGTTGGGCAAGCGAAAGTCACCCCTCGACGACGTCGAGATGAGCGCCACGATGTCTAGCGTGTTCAAATAACCCCCTGTGGCGTGCATGTAACCCTGATGAGGGAAATACGCCGGGCATCGACGCAATTGTAAATTGTGAGTCCCCCCATTAGAGCCTCGCCCAAGGCTTTCATGATGCGACAGACGATTAGTATTTATTTTGTATTATTACATTACACTGGTAACTGAATGTACCTGAACCGAACCAAATAAAGTGATGATGGAAGAAAATAATTGGATTCGTATTCTCCTAGTCGTATCAGTGGGGTTGATTGATTCGTTGATTTAATGATTGATCAGAAGTTTGTAAAAATATTATTATTATGTTTCATGTTTAAATATTAGTTATTACATTATTACTAATACAGAATCTTTCTTTTCGTAAAGACAATAAACGTAAATTTACATATTTACATAGAGCTGGCTTTTGTTTTCACATCAATTACAATTCAATATAAATAAGATGCATTCTTAAAAATTTTCTATAATTACAGCTAATTAACTTCATTCGTTTCTAAAAGTTTCGTTTCATTTTTATAATATCATATAGTAAGTTGTTTACCCGTATTTTTATCTCATCATATGACTGCATCTGCATCTAAATATACATACTTTATAAATATTCAAAATTTGAAGAAAAGAACGATAATTAACAAATAGTTAATAATAATAATTTAATTTCTTATTTACTACTAGATATTTAATAATAATGTTGGAATTGAATAAAATTATTAACATCTCAATATTTATATTTTTATTTGCGCAACAAATATTAATAAGAATTGTAAAAAATGATTTAAAAAAAAGTAGTTTTAAGAAAACGATTCTGCTAATATTACTTAAAATTTCATTAATTATGATTGAAATATAAAATTTATATCCAACATATACTACAATTTCAAATAATTTTCTTCCTAATATTGATTAAAGTACGTATTGCACATGCATAATTTATATCTAATTATGAAATTGAATTGTTGGTTTTAAAAACTTATTTTCAACATAATTTAAATTTTATTTCATGTTTATTTGATTTCGAATTAACTTATATTGCATAATAGAAAAACAAGCAATTTTATTTTGCTCGGGAAAACAAAAAGGCAGTCATCAACTAAAAATAATGCACTTACTTCGTTATCTATAAATGATTGTTAATGGCTATTCCTGCAACATGCCTCCATAAAAGTATAAATATTTAATAATTTTTTATTAATTTAATTAATATGTATTTAAATTATAAATATTATATTAAATATATATGTTAACAGGATACAATCATAGGATGTTTTAATTTAATATTCATTTTACAATAATATGAACATTTAATTGATATGCAAATAAAGATTTCTGCAATATTATTAGAATAATATAGTAATACTAGTTACTATATATAATAATACTAGTAATTTTAAAAAGAATAATCGATATGTATCTTAACTATTTATTTGAGTGAAAATTACATAGATTTTTATTGTTTGAGTGTGATAGTAGAAAAAAATACTCATACTCATAAGTTATTAGTAATACAGTTAAATCAGTAATTTATTATAGCAAATTATTAAAAGATCAGATAGAATATAACAGATTTCATGCCTGGGTCTATATTAGTTAAAATATCATAATTGATTCATAAAATAGACATTTGTCGTATTTATTTAGTAGTCTAGCCTTGCTATTATGATATGAAATTTCTGTCTAGCCACTTCAAATAAATGTTATCCCACGGTACATGCGCACGAATACACACGCGCGCGCGCGCACGCACGCACACACACGTATGTAATTATTAACATATTTAGCAAAATATATTTTTATTGTACTTTGAACATTGAATAAGATATTTAATTTTCTTGTATACATAAGCATTTTGCAAATATCTATAGTATCGATTCTCTTTTTATGTCATATTGAAAATCGAGCAGATTAAAATAGTACTTCGTACAAATTAGCTAGATGATTTCATCGGCATCGAAGCACGTCATGATGTTATGATGAAACGCAAGGGGCACGCGAATCTCGTGGAGACGCGCACGAGATTTACCGGCCAGACGCAAACTAGCTCGTACTACTGGTCTTAGTGATCGACGCGTGTGACAGCTCGAGTTGCAAGGGCAGTGACAAGTGCATCCCCGGCCAATTGGCACAGGCCCCCCGAGGCGGAAGCTCAGCCAGTGGGAGAGGGATGGAAAGAGGCATGGAAGCTTCTATCGTCGAACGCCAGCCGGGGACGAGCCTCCAGCTCCTCACTGGCAGCCTGGTGGGCTTGAGGACGCGATGGAGGTGGCCAAACGGCGAGGCCACCCCCACTGCCAACGGGGGTGGCTACCGTGGGAGGAGCGCTTCGGCAGCCGGAAAGCTCTCGTCGCGAAGTAAGCGCCTGGTGTTGGCGGATCGTGGGCACACCTGTCGGGAGACACACCGGCGCCAAACTCTATCATACCCCTTATCATGGTCTCTCCTCCCTGTCCGAAACTCAAGCGATCGCACCTCCGCCTCAGAAATGCACGCCTTATATTGTGCAAGGAGTGCATCGTGTGTGTGTGTGTGTGTGTGTGTGTGTGTGTGTGTGTGTGTGCGCGCGCGCGCGTGTGCGTGAAAGGTAACGTTCTTTAGTTTATTTGATTTGGTATTGAATGTCTGTAAAGTTGAATTTCGATTGATGCTATAATTAATTGGTTGGTGCCGTGCAACTGCCGAGTTGCAAAGTTGCAAAGTTACTTTACTAAGTAAACGATACGTACTTCTTATCTGGGTATCTAAGACGCAGTCGAAATAAAGTTCTGATCAATGCAAGTAGGCGCTCATGCACCTGCAAAAAGTGAACTACTTTTCCGGGTGAGGGCAGTTGAGCGACACTGGCGACGGGCTATCGGAAAAAGCGGAGAGCGATTAGAAGAGAATAAGAAAAAAGCTCTGGAGGACGACACGGTGCTCCTGTTACCCTGTTCCTGCGACTAGGAGGCGTCTTGGGTACCCCTCGTCTAGGCCGAATAGAGCTTTGTTCGCAAGCTCCCCAGCTAAGACCAGCAGCATTGGCTGCGAGCCGGATAAACCGGGCTTTTGATGTTACTGGCCCCTTTTAACTCGAGCCTCGAAAGGCCGAGCTTGCAAGGACAGAAGTCTACCGGAATAAAGCCCTGCGGGCATGGAAGCCTGGTCGCGAGAGCTTGCGAGGCATGCCAGGCACGATCTTTGTCCGATGGAGCGCGAATGACAAGTAGCCGCGAGGAGTCACAATCGGAAGTCTCCAGGGTGTCTGGCTTGTCGGTCCCGGAGACTTCATCGATTAGCCGTCACGCGTCCATCATACGACGTCGCGGGGACGCCTCGTTACCAGGACCGCATACAGCTCTACTCGGTATCTCGCGATATAACCCCAACCTCCGACCTACGCGAGACAGGTGTCAGCATCGCCCGGACGTCAATCATCTGTCTGTCACGAAGGCGCGAGATGCTCCGGCACACCAGGGCAACAGCAGACGTTTGAGGGATTTATGGCGCCGGACCGCGACCCTGCGCGCGCACAGCCAAGACTTTTTCCGCGCTTTGGGGCGGAGAGCTAACCGTCTTACTCTAGTACTTCGAGATAGTCGATGGGTGTTGCCGTTGTAGATCGGAATGGTGAATGATTGGAAATTGAAGTCGCGGTCACAGCTTGATAGGGGCACTCCGATGATAAGAATAATGTTCGATGTGAAATTAATTGGGGATGATTTGGAGTTGGTTATTTTGTCAGAAATTTAGCCTGCTGCGCGCTGCTCTTCCACTTGTCTAAGCGCATTATATTGTTTGAATGCTTTTATATTCTATATTTTATATATAATATTTTATATTTGTCGAGATTGGGAACGACAGGAATATAATTAACGGTAGTTGTATGAATAGAAATTAATTTGACGACTGGAAATGCAACAACTAAGCGATGAATTATGTCAATTTTACCATTTTATGAATATTTATTGTCAATTGGTTAATTCGTCCTCTCTCTGGTGTCAAGTCATAAATCCAAATATAAAATTTTGCGAAATACATTAGAGTAAACGGTCTTTAAATAATGTGAAATAGTCAATTTTTATTCTGATTATTTGCATAATGACTAAATCTTTGTCTTAACATCGATTATGACATTAATTATTACGAATTATGACATTAATCCTAGGATATTTCCAGCACGGCATTATAGAATATATATTTTACAAACAAATTTTTATTAGAGCATATTAATATTTATTACTTAATTAATATCGAATCCTTTTAATCCTTTAAAAGCC